TGGATCCGGTGGCTCCGTGTCAGTTGATTCTGCTATCCTGGGGGGGGGTGAGATTGATGATTCATTTTGGGATGGACTTGGGCATCAACCTCGGGTCTCCAGCATATAGGGTTTTCAATGGACACGGGGGGCGCCAGGTCGGTTGATGAAGCTTCGAGAATTTGGAAGTTCCATCAATGCACTATGATTGAGCGTGCATCTCGTGACGTGTTTCTCTCAAGAGCTGGGAGTGCTAACCAGTGAGGTTTGATTTGGCAGGGATTGCCACTCGACCCATGCCGCCTCTATGCAACATGTTGGAGGCAGGCAACCTCAAGATGTGCAAGATGTTGGAGGCCAGCCGTGCCAAGCTGAAGCCTGGGGACGCTGTCAAGTCAGAGCCGTCCTCTGCGGTCCCATCTCCAGCCAAGAAGTTGGCTTCTGAGCTGGAGAGGAAACTTAAGGGCATGAAGGGCGACACTTCTTTTGTCAAGGACCGAGTTTTTGCAACAAAAGCATTTTTTTCTTATTTCAAGGGGCTGTCAAAATTTGTTTTGATTTCAGGGATTGTCAAAACAACCCGGGGGATGATAGCTGATCAGTTTTTCATTCCGAGCCATTATCCTTCAAACCACGTGTCATGTAGTCCAGCCAGGAGTTGATCCAACATCTTTCACAGTTCATCTCTGAAGGGACCAATCTGGATTGCTTGCACCCTGTGCAACACGCTCTCGATTGCGTGTGTGGGCCCAACGCTGGCGCTTTTATGATGCAAATTGAGAATTGGTTTGAAGCCTACTATTCAGATCAACAGGACATCAAGGCAAAGGCTTTCTATCCTATGAAAAGCACTGTCCAGGGCTGATCGTTAAAGTTGGAAGCAAACTCATGCACAATCAAATTCATGCTTCCACTTGAATGTCAACATGAGTATTCAATCCTCAGTCGCAATCATGTTATTGGCCTCCAAGGTGATTGATCCTAATTCGAGCACTGGTGAGGTCCTGAAGCTGCCTTTGACAGCTTTGAAGCCGCTTGGCTTAGAATGGATCAAACAACATGTGATCTATGCCCACTTCTGGAAGAAGCAAACAGGAAAATTGCCACCCTGGTGATTTTAAAGGAACACGAAAACGAACGATGCTCTTAGGTTCGATGTCCCGGAAGATGGGCTGCCGTCCATCGAAGACTGGGTCCAGACTTGCACTTCGATCTTGCTGGATGGATTGGAACTGCAACGAGAACCTCTTGACGTTTGTGTGGGGGGCCAAGTTTCCAGCCAAGGGTTTTAGCCATGTGTCTCGTGTCATGTTTGTCAATCAAAGCGTGAAGTTAGATTCTCGTGTCTGTGACAGTGTGCTGTGCTATTCCACCCTTTGCACCCTGAGGTCCCACACACAATCCCAGACAGCTTCTCGACTGCACTTCGGTGTGATGCCGGTGATGATGATGATGATGCCAGCCTTTCGTGTCATCTCACTGACTTAGACAGGGACGACAATAGGGTAACTTTGGCCCAAGCTGGTGGGTGTGGACTGGTTCCGATTCCGCTCCCAATTGTATTTTGCCATGATGCCTGGCAACGCCCCCCGCCCAAAAGCCTTCATCCTATGGTGGCGGCAATGGCGGATCCCACTTGGACAGAAACACGAGAGATCAACGGGATCAACTCCGCTTCATGTACCAAACCACTGCGAAGGGGCGTGGGAAATCCTACCAAGATTGGGTGCAGTCATGGCGGCAGTGTCGGCAATACTCCGTGGGGGTTGATGCCAACTGCCTGGAAGGCCCCCCCTGACTGCATTTAATCATCATTCAACACATGGGGCTGGGAAGCTCTTTGGGCTGGGAAGCCATCATTCATCACAGAGGGGTGGGAAGCTCCTTATACACTACCTGGGCTGGGAAGCCATCAATCATTACATGGGGCTGGGAAGCTCCTTTTTCTACCTGGGCTGGGAAGCCATCATTCATTACATGGGGCTGGGAAGCTCCTTATTCTACCTGGGCTGGGAAGCCCCCTATTAAATAAAAATCTAATTGATTGATTTCTAGAAATAAAGAAATATGTTTTTCCTTTTAGTTCCTTCATATTTTTTAACTAAGGTGAATTCGAGACGAACCCCCGCACTGGCGAGTGGCGCTGGGTTGACAAACGCTTCAGCGACGCGTGGCGCACATGGAATGTGAAGACTGAAGCTCAAAGTGAGGAATGGGAGGAGAAGTGGAAGGAGGACGGCGACTGGAATGAAGAGTGGGGTGGGCAGGGTTCTTACTCTGACACGAAGGCTGACCTGACGATGGAGGAAGCCCATCAATGGGCCATGGAGCTCGATGCTCAGCAGGTAGCAGTGGAGAAGCAAACAGCGAAAGCCGCAGCGCCTTCCCCATCATTTGAGCAGGGTGAGCCTGCAAAAGTTCAGGGTGGCTTCAGCAAGGAGTGACCAGGCCCTTGAAAAGGGGGGCCATGTATCCTAGTGCAATTTTGACAGAAGTGCACTGAAAGGCTGCGCGCCTTCAGAGGCTTGCTGACAGATGTGCTGAATGGCTGTGCGCCTGCCAAGTGCTCAAAAAGTGTCTCAGCTTCTGTGCATCAACGTGTAAACATCTGAACATTTGTGAGGTGTGAGGCTGAGGTCATCTTCAACAGTTGCATTGTAGATTGAACATGTTTGAACATTGGCTGGATTTATCACGAAATAGGGCATGGATTGCGTTGCACATTCTTTGATAAGACAATCATTGGAAGATTCATTTTGTCGCCGTCGGTCGTGCATGCTGGAATTTCATTTTGTGATGATGATGATGGTGAATGATGATGTTTGTTGGCTTTGAAGTGAGTGGATCACATCCTTTTACTGGCGTCCAAGGTTCAGGGAGCATGGCAGTGCATTTGAACTCCGTGGACATTGTCAAGGGCTGGACAAGGGCAACTTCAGTGGTGTGGATCATGCTGGCAGTGTCGGAGCTTGACCCCTCAGAGGAATCCACCAAGGCTTTTGTGAAGCCTTTAGAAAAGGTCCTGGATAGGGCCTGGTTGCTTCCAATGCATGTTTCTCAGCTAAACAAAGGACATCACGCTAAAACGTTGGGTTGATCAAATCAGTTTTATTCAACTTCAATGAAGTTCGAAACATGAAGTGCAGAGCGCAGTCAGCCTCTCTGCAATATCTAAGGTTGTGATTGGCATGAGCAAGGATCAGCAGTCTTTCCGGAACATGAGCCTCAGCTTTCGTGGAGCAGAAAGGCAATCTCCAAGTGTTCTTCAAATGGCTCTCCGCTTTTCAGTCATCATGGAGCGGCAGGCTACCACGATGTCTGGCAATACTGAGTCAAGGCTCAAGAAAGTCATCAAGCAGTTCAACGAGAGCGACGGACTTCATGTGAAGCACCAAGTCGACTCAGAGAAGGAGCGGACCATTCTGAACCTAATCGTTGGGACTTGCAAGGTGGGTTTTGTGCAATATTTTGTGTTTTCCATCATGCATGAAGGCAACCTGCTCAAAGGCTAATAATATGTTTCACTTAGAACCATGTATGATCAGGGGTCATGTTGCTGGCGTTGATATGTGATATTATGCACTTTTCAACTACTGAATGACAGCGCTGTGTCAGATTCATTGTTGAAACTCAACGTTTAAAGTGTCGGCAGGCAACACGGGACGTGATGTCTCAACATCTAGCCTTCGCCAAATGGCGCGAGAGCGCGTTCAGCACTGATCTCCTGAAAGGCTCGCGATGGCTGCTAGGTGCCCGACCTAAAGGCCTTCCGGAGTCTTTGCATGAAGCCCTGGTGGTCACGCCAGAGTCGCAGACCATGTTGATGCAGCTCCATGTCAAGCGCTTTTTTGCAGGCGACCAGGCGTGTTAAGCCTACTCAGCGTGGTAGGGCTCGCATTTCTCCGGAAGAGTTTGACAAGTTGGTCGACTATTCCTGCATGTTCGCATTTCTTCGGCAGAGCGCCAAGACAGCGACCTCTGACCCCAAGGTGGATGAGAAGCTGTTGGAGGCTTTCATGGCCAGGTGTCTTGTGGGCGTTTGGTGGCTTTGCTTGTTGATCAATCAACTCCTCATTCAAGTTTTGATGTTTACATGGACTGGGACTGGGAAGGCAACTTCAAATGGTTTCAGTGTAACTAAAGACAGGGTCAGTCATTGATATCATCTACAGGACTTGATGTCACTGTCATTTTCTTCTGTGTGATCAGTGGTAGCTGCAGGGACTACTTCCAGGACATTGAAGCAGTGGTCACAAGCAAGAACCCTTCATTTCAGTTGCGATCATTGATTGTTTGGAGTGACTTGGTGGAGCCTCCGATGTTGCCGGCGAGCTTGCAAGGAGAGGAATCCGTGGACGTGCTTGCGGCCCAAGAGCAAGCCTCTGCTGCAAAATTTGCGGAGATCAAGGTCAAGCTCGCGGCAGATTGCAAGGCAATGAATGCCTTCAATTCCGAGAAGTCACAGGTTGCTGGGAAGCAACACGTGACCAAGGTGCTTCATGAGAAAGCTCAGAATGAGACTGGATCCAAGTCACTCGACTGGTTGGTGATGTTTTGCTTCACTGAACCTTGCACTTTTGAGTTGTTTCATCCTTTTAAGTGAGCTGCTTGAAATCGCAATGTCTTTGCATGTTTGCTTGAGGGTGGTCATGGATTTCATGCAGAATCATTGCTGGATGGGGCTGGTGGCTGATTGGAGTATGCCGGCTGAAGTGGATGTCATGTTGCGTGCTACTGCGGCTCGCAATCAGGTGCTGGTCTCACCATGAATTGAAATCAAAATGATGATGATGGCAGTACGATATTCTTTTAGTCATATATTTGTAAGCTTTAGATAGCTGCGCTGCAATTTCTAATCCCTCCGCGTTTTGCACAGGTGGCGCTGGAAAAGGTCAACGTGATTGGCTGGGTTGATCTGACCAAAATTGGTGTCGTCACCCAGAAGGACATCAACAAGGTGGGACAGTGGTGTGAGAAGCTCATTGCCAAGAACCCACTGTGCTCCTAGACTGCTAAAAGAGTAATGTGCAGTCTGTCAGTCAGTGCTGGTGGTTTTTTAAATAGTGCTTCTGAAAGAAGTTTCCGTGCCTGCCTGGCACTGGGTCGAAGACAATCACCTGAGGCACCTGTGTGGTCATGGCCCTTCCTCTCTTGGCATCTGCCCTTGGATGTGGAGCTTTGCGGACGGATATTCGGAACCCCGAATGCAAAGCAGTTGAATCCCTGAATCCTGAAGTATTTGAACTTTGCACATATTTCATTTGGTAGTTTGATGTCATTTTGTCATTTGATCCTGCTCGAGGAAGCTGGAGGACAAACTCAACGATTACAAGATCGAGTTTCGCAGCTTTTGTTTGCCCATGGACCTCTCTGGGTTGCATCACAACCGAACGATGCCAGGAGGGTTCTTCTACTATTTGTGCGTCGCAGACATGTGCCTCCCATCCCAGGGAACGGCTCACAGGGCGAACAGAACCGCCGGAAAGGCCAGGGGTGTGAACACTTTGACATGTGAACCAATATTTATTTACTTGGGAAGAATCAGTATGCCAATGCTTGGCCGTCATGTTGTTGCACTTTGCTGTTCAAGGTGGATCGCGACGACGTGAATGTGTTCTGCTTCTCGAAGCTGTGGCAGAATCAGGTGGTGTCATCACCTGCCCGTGCAATTGACGAAAGTCAATTTGTCATCCCGGGGCTGAGCATAGTTGCATCCAGCGCGGAAGGCCGCCGCAATTACACAGATTGCCAGGAGACGAGCCAATGGCTTGGGGGGTGACCAAATACCTCAACTCATTCTTGATGATCTGCTGGCCTGTCTCTTGGACATGGAAATGTGATTTTCATTTTTTTCAAGACCAAGTTTGATATCATTTTGGGATTCCATTCGATTCGTTTATTGCAACATTATCACTGATAACTTTCCACAGTTTGAGGCAGTGGGGTAGAGATGAAGGCAACAGTTGTTGTGAACTCCACCGCCTACGACGGATGCCTCGAGAAGGTGTGCGTTGGCAAGGGGCTGCCATGTGTGTCCCAAAGTGAGAAGCAAACCCACTTCACCATGTCCTTGAAGCTCACCAAGTCCGCCCTTCTCGATCAGTGGAAGAAGGGTAGTGGAGCGATGGCTGACAGGCTGCCCCGCTATATTTCTGAGCCCAATGCGGAAGTGATGCCTTCTGATCCGGCGGAGCCAACTTTGACAGTGTGTTCCATGGTTGATGGTACTTTGTGCTTGCCTCGCAACATCCGCTCGGAGTTCCTGTCAGACCCCATCAGGAGCCCAGAGTGGAGAAAGATTCTTCAAGAATTCGACAGGTGCTTCGGAACATCAGCGCCCGTGCCTGCAGGGCCTTCTGTGACTGAGGCTGGTGGTGCGGGCAGCGGTGAGCCTGAGCCTGCTCCACAAAATGCAACCCCTGGCTTTGATTGGGAAACTGCTTTCGATGAGCCAAGGGCTGCTGAGCAGTGGCATACGAAGTACGACGGGCTCATTCAGGGCAAGTTCTCATGGTGCCCGGAACTGACTGCTTACATCGTGGGGGGATGGGCAATCTTCAGAATCTGATGCGCCTCCAAAGTTCAAGCTCTTCATCGAAGCACACGAGGCATATACATTGCCGGCTGACGAGGCCTTCTTGACGTATGGAGCTGGGACATGGCTTCTCGACAGCAAGGCGGAGAGCTTCTTGTCCGAGAACTCCGAGCATGGGCACAAGGCCGTGGAGTGCAAATTTCAATCTGACTTGGTTCCAGTGGTGCTGGAGGCGGGACTTGTCTGTGGGGTGGGGAGGGTGAGTGGGGAGACCAACATTTTTTCGATTTGTATCATATATATGTATATTATATTTGGTCCAAATCAAATGAGATTCCAACCTCTGGGCTCCAGTTTTGGCAGTGTCATTAATTAGCTTTACTGCAGGAGGGTGGTCACGACGGTGACCTCAAGACATTGCGAGGGGTGATCCAGCAATGTGAAGCAGCCGGGATGGTTGACTTCGAGCTCGGGGGGCCATTCTTTTTCCCGACCTGCAGCAGTGGTCCAAGGGAAGTCTGGAGATCAGCTCCTCACCTTAAATCTTCTCGGGCTCGGTTTTTCATTATGCAACCTTTTTGGTTTCAATAGTTGTGAAATCACTACTCCTTGTTCCATCTTTGGGTTTGACTTAAAATAAATCACAGCCCTAAGGTTTGATGTGGGCTTGAAGCCTGGCAGTTGCATGGTTTGGCGCCCCAACAACCTCCAGATTTCCGGGCTGCGAGCGACAAATGCTGCAAGTTTCTTTTTTGTCAAGCCTTTTGGAGGCTTCATCGACCCTGAAGAAGGCGGGTTTAAGAATGCACACGTGCTTCATCTTTCCCAATGATTCAGTGGCTCCCCAGCCCCTTCTTGTATAAAAAAAACTAATTGGCATCTAGTGGGCTTCCGAGCCCTCTTGAATCTAAATTAGTTAGTGGTTTGGCTTCCCAGCCATTCAGCTTCCCAGCGGATTTCTGCCCCCCTCCCATCCCTCCCGTCCAGGTGTGGCGTTTGCGGGCGTACAAGCCTGAGAAGACGCTCGGGGCTGCGAAGCCCATGTGGTTCTTGACCACCACCTTGAATATGGCCAAGGGGTCAGTGCAGCGGGTGGTGTGAGCTAGGTGAACTGGCCAAACTGCTGCCCTCTTGTCACAAATGTTTTACTATAACGTAATCAATGTTTGGAATAGATTACTGTGACCTTTCAATTCTCCAGTGGTGTGCCATCAGCTCGAGTGCAGAGGACACTCAGGTTTTGCGCCAGTCTGCTGAGATCCCGCACCTCGAGTGCCCCATCTGATCTGCAGACCTGCAACGGTGAGAAAAACGATCCAATCTGAAGTCAGGCCATTCCGGGTTTGTTCGGAGTCTAGTTCAACCCACAACATCTCGAAGCGTTGATTTCCGAAGTCTGCCATGCATGTCAAACCTGTTCTGGGTGTAATCTGTGTATCCTCACTGGTTGTATAGTTTTGGATCGGAAGTTAGATTTAAGTCTGTTCATCGTGTATCTGTCGACGCTCCACGTGCCCATGGATGCGGAGTGGGTAGAGGATGACATTGAGTTTGTAGAGCCATCTCCTGGAGATCAAGGTTTTCATTCTATCTCTGGGGACGCCAATGTGTCTATTGGTGTGCTTTGGCCAGCATTTGGCTTCGGAGGTCAACTTGCTCAGCCTGTCGAGCCCCCTGGTCTGGGACAGCCTGTGGAAGTCCCTGGTGTGGGACAGGCGACTCCGACCCCTCGTCGCCCTGCTCTACGAAGACCCCTGAGTCCCGAGTACACCAGAAAGCTCTTTACCCCTCAGGACTGTGGGTGATCAATATGGATGTTAAAGCCTATATACAATCTACATAATGTCACCCACTCCCATGCAGTCTAACTAAGATATTGATAGCATTTTAAAGTATCAGCCTGTTTTTTGAACATAGCAACTTGAAGGACGAACGTGAATCACAAGAACAAGTCAGCGAAGAATCCCTCATCAGCACTCGGCGCAGGCTCATCGACCATCAGCACAGTGACAGCCTCATGCTCGAGAGTACCGCTGCCGGTACCTTCCAAGATCCCTGTGGAGGGTCTACATTCCAACAGACTCCAGAGATGGTGCCACAGGGCGAAAACAATGATGCTGGCAATCCGACGCATGCACCTTCAACAGTCAGCGCAATGGCAAGTGGACCCATGAACACAGATTCCAGCCAGGGTGACCATGGACCTCACCAGGGTCCGCCACAGGAGCCTTCTGCTCTTCCTCCGCAGGATCCGCCACAGGAGCCTTCTGCTCGACCTCCACAAGATCCGCTGCAGGGCCCTTCTCCTGGACTTCCACAAGATCCACCACAGAAACCTTCTGGTGCACCTCCACCAGATCCGCCACAGGAAACTCCTGCTGGACCTCCACAAGATCCGCCACAGGAACCTTGTGGTGGACCTCCACAAGATCCGCCACAGGAACCTTCTGGTGGACCTCCACAAGATCCGCCACAGGAACCTTCTGGTGGACCTCCACAAGATCCGCCACAGGAACCTCCTGCTGTACCTCCACAAGATCCGCCACAGGAACCTCCACAAGGTCCGCCAACAAAGCGACCCTTCTTGAAGGACATGACCCCTCAGAGCAAGGCTGCAGAGTTGGAACGACGCAAACAAGCCAAAAGAGCATCTAGCAACCAGTGGCATGCAAAGTGGCAAAGCAAGGGTGTTCCCAAAGCTGGTGAAGCCGGTGCTGAGGGAAACCATGAGGATGTTGAAAACACGAATGACCAGGCTCAGGGGGGCGTCCAATGAGGTTGATGGGCCTTGTGATCATCATGGTGATG